TTTAATATTACTTCTTTATACCAATTACTCTATTCAATCTAATATAATAATTATGATTCATTGAATTCAGCTGTTTTAAATATTATAAATATTCAAAAAATCTTTATATCTATGTATAGTAAATATATAATATTAATCTTACTATTTTATAATATAACCCTCTCAATTAACATTTTACTCTTGATATAGATATATATTTTTTTTATTTATAATATAAATTATATTTTCATAATACATTTCTATATAATAATAAAAATAGTTTATTATTTATATCATCATGCTCATGTTCATGATTATAAGAAAAATTAACAAAAAGATGATCTTTTTCTAATTAGTATAATCAAAATAATAACATTAATTAATAATTAAAAGTATAAAAAAAGCTTTTTTTATATAACTAAAAATAGAATTTTTTTTACTTTTATTTTATTTTTTTTTTAAGATTTGTTGCTTTTTAAGATTATATTTATCATTACAACTAACAAGTAAATAAGTAACTTTTTATTTAACACTAGTAACTATATGTCTTAGTGAAAAGGCTTAGTAAAGATATAAGAAAGATTAAAGTGAAATTAAGATGCTAGTAAAATAAATAAAAATAAACTTTTTTTAAAGATTCTGAAAGATAATATTTTATGCAGTTTTAATAATGATAAATATTTAGAAGAATTTTTGTACTTTAAATAAAACCTATTTTAAAGATTTTTGTTTTTTTTAGAAAATTTTTACTGACATTGTTAAATATCTTTTTCTATATTATGCATATCTTATATAAACTCTAATTAAGAAAACATTAAAGAGATATATAGAGGAAAGGTTTTTAGATTTTATATCTAATTTAAGCTTTAACAAATTTACAAACTATTTTTATAATCAATAGTTAAGTCTGATAATATATTTTTTTTATTATATATATCTATTGATTATAATTATTAATAATTATTTTTTAACTTTCTCAATTTATATTAATTTGCATTAGGTAATAATTTTTTATTATATATTATTTACAATAGTTTATATTTGAATTTTTTAAATAATTACAATTTACTTATATAGCTTTTAAAAAAAATTAAGAACATTTATAATGTTGTATTTTAGAGTATTGGATTTGCAATTTGAAATGTTTTTGAGATTGAAAAATTGGTTTAGTTAAGAAATAATATAACTGCAACTATTTTATTAAGTAAAAGAAAAATCTGAAAATAAGTACTTGTCATTATACACTTTTTTAAAAAAATAATAAGAGCATCTTTTGGGATTTCTTATTGCAAGAACAGCTTTTACTACAATGTTAGTTCTCTTTATGACTAGTAAACATTATGCATTTATATTTGCAGTTTGTAACATTCTTCTCAACTCTTATTTATGAAAGATTTTGTATAAAGAATTATATATAAGACAGAATTAAACAATATTTGGTAAGTAATTTATATTTTGTTTTTATAAGTAATTATACTAGGTAATGCATAGTATTGTGTGTTTGAAGCCTAACACAGCATACTACACAAATGTGAAATAAGAATATCAGTATTATATTAAAGTACAAATATAGACATGCATGTAGATATACAAAAAATTTTCAAATTGCATTTCTGATATTAATTTCATAATTTTTATATTTATGCATCAAAAAGGTACTATTTTTTGAGCCAAATGCATCAAAAATGTAACTTTTGTATTACATGCTGAATAATTTAGTAACCTCCACTTTGTTTTGGACAATTAAAATTTAATATATTTAAATAGAGAGATTTCAAAAATGATGACCCATTATATGAATTTGCAAAAAATATATTAAATAGTGAAGCTGATAATAAATAATTAAAAAGACCTCATCTTAAGATTCTGATCCTGAATCTTATTTATAAAAAAAAAGCCTATCTATATTACAAAAAGAGATGAATAAATTATTTAAAATCAAGTATTAGTAATAGTTTTTGTATAATTTTTTTTTATATTGTTTTTTTCTTTAAATTATTTTTTTTTTATTTTTTTCTTTATATTATTTTTTTGTCTTTGTATTGTATTTTTTTTAATGTTTAATATATTAGTTTTAATATCAAATATATGCATATAATAAAAGTTATATTTAATAAAACTGATTATTGCTTTAAATATTTTTAAAACTAGTATTATTACTTTATTGTATAAAATTAGTAATATAAAATTTATTTAATACTTATCAATATAAATTAGGTTTTTTATATAATTAATTAATAACAATTTTTTATTATAACAGCTATATATTGATCTTTATTACAATTAATATAATTTAATAGAAGATTATTATTAATATATATCTATATAGATAATAATCAATATATATTAGCCTATAATTTTTGCTAATATGTGTTAAAATAATTGCTAAAACTTTAATAATACAAGTTTTATTAATTCTATTAAAATTGAGATGTTATTCTTTATATATATTGTTTATAATTAACTAGAGATAAGAAATAAAACTTTGTATAGTTTAGATCTATATTAAAAGTTCAATAAATAATAAAGTAATGATTAGAAGATAAAAAATATTTTTGTATTTTTTAATAATAATTTTATCATTATAGCATAAGAGTAACCAAATTTAAATTTAATAAATTTTTTAAATGTATAAATAGTATAGTAAATATAAAGGTTATAACCAGATAATTGGTAATATAATAGAATATTTTGATAATAAAAATATACTAAAATTGTATCTTTTAAATAAGAGAACTAGAGAGGTTTTCTGCTTTTAAAAAGATATAACAGTTTTGATAATAATTATTTTTAGTTAAGTAAATGCTGTTATTTATTGTACAAATTTGTTCTAAATACATAATGTTTGATTATCTAAGTTGATTTTTAAAAGTTGAATATTTTGAATATTATAACAAAATTAATTCTAGTAGTTGATCACTATTATTAATTGTATAAGACCAAATTGAGTTAAAATTGACTAAAATAATTAAGCCAAGATGAATAAGAAGTTGGATAATTTTGAAGTTTAATAAATTTTTATTAAAACTATCAATAGTAGATTTAGAATTATTTAGTATGCTAGTAGAAGACTATAAGTTATTTTATAATTGTTAAAGTCTAATTTGAATTATAATTTCAAGAAGATCAGAGTTGTTAATTCATTAAAGATAGTTAGAAATATAATGCTAAAGTTGAATATCCTAAATGTTGTATATATTATATAAAAATAGATTAAGTATTGTATTATTTGATATGGCCTGAAAAGATATAATTTGTGTTTTGCTACAGTAAGATATTTAGATAAAATTTGCTTATATACTATACAAAAAAAAATAATTTTGTGTAGTCTGTATTTTAGAGTTAGAATAATAATTGTATTAATAATATATGTAATTTGTTTATCTATAATTTCTTTGTATTAACTATATTAATAAAGTTAAAAACCTTTTCTTTTATTAGTTTGATAATTTGAAAATATTTGTTGTAACCTGTAAGTCAATAGCAAAGTGGTTATACTCCTAGGTTTCCAATTGCAAGGTTGCCAGTTCAAGTCCAACAGGGAATGCAAACTGAGTTAGAACTATGATTGTGAATTAATCACACCAGATGGCATATTATAAAAATTAGGAAGATCTTTGGTACCCAGATTCTTAAATGGTGACAGACCTAACATAAGAAGGCCATAATGATCAGAAGGCTGAGAATAATAATAGAACAAAGGAATCCCTGATTAGGAATAATCTTGATAAAATTCTGAGATAATAGTAATACTGAAATTAGCATATAGATAGTACCATAAATGTATACAAATAATGTAAAATGTAGATGGGATCCTGATAGAAGGTCCTGTGAATTTGAAATATGAATTAATAAAAACAGCTGCCAGCTGCAGCCTACTAGCAACTATGCAGTAGGAAATTTAAAAAAAAAATATTTATTGTTAAGTATAAACTAGTATCTAAAAAACTTGAATAATTAGTTTTTAGAAATAGAGTAGGTTAAAGATTCAGAAAAACAAAAATAGATAATAAAAGAATTTGTAACTAAAATTAACTTAGTTAAGATTAGTTATAAAATAAAATATAAAAAATTCTAAAAAATTTAATACAAGATCAAAATTCTTTAGATAAGTAAATGCTTTAAAACCTAAAAACTATAATATATTTGCATTAATAACAATAAAAACAATTAATAAGTATAAATAAGTAAATAATACAAAAATTAAAATATTTAAATAAAAAACTCATAAGCAAATTTAACAACTTATATAAAACTTTTAAGTAAACTACTTAAAGGTAGAGTCCAATATAGATTATTTTTCATATGACTTTGATGGTAAATTTTTTTTATTTTTAATATTTTAAAAAATTTTATTAAGCTAATTATTTTATATTATTAAGTAAAGTTTGTAGAATGGGTTTTTCTGATTCTAATGATAGTAAAATCATTAAAATTGGTTAAATATTTAATAAGAAATATGTATTTAAAAATTGGATGTTATTTTTGTCATATGATAATCATGTGATATAAGCTAATTAAAATAACTGATTTTGTATCACTACAGAGAATTTGAGGTCATCACGGAAAACTTTACAACATATACAAGTATATATTTTTTTAATATTTTGACTATTAAATTTTATACCATTGTAAAAAACATGTTTTAATATATATATATTATAAAATTTTAATAAAAATCAAATATAATTATAAAAAGCTTTATTAGTAACATCTTTCAATATTTTGTAAAAATTTTAATCAAACATGCAAATCATATGACAAATGATCTACATTAGACTCTACCCTTAAATTAAACAATGACTAAAATTATATAAGTAACTAGTTGTACATCTTTTCATAATTGCTTTTTATAATTGTAATGCAACTATTAGCTAAATATACTATTAATAAAATTGCAAATTGCAAATACTTAACTTAATATTAAAAAAATCTTCAATTTATAAAAAATAATAAAAGAAATACTAACATTACTTTCAAATACTCTATTGTTATTTGCTTAATCTCTTAGGCTGATTTAATCACTTTTCAAACTCTATGCCATTCACTGTATCAAATTTATCTACAGAAAAGTTTGTCTCTTCATTCTTAATAAATTCTTTACAAATCTCTATTATTGCATTTTTTGACTTAATTTATATTTTTTAAATGATTCCTAAACCAAAACATTAATTAACATTTTGTGTTAAAGGATACAAATTTAATATGTAATAAAAATTGGCGGGCATGTAACTAGTTACCTTATATAACTTATATCTCATGATTTACCAAACCAATTTTGATGATTTTACCACCATTAGAATCAGAAATTTAGATCTACAACTTTTACTATAAACAAAAAGAAGAGGTACTTACTAAAAAAAAACACTTTATATGTAAATAAGCCCCATTTCTGTACTATAGAAAAGACATGAAATTCCGATTTTGTTTATTATAAGATCCATCATTCTTTGTTCCCTTAATAAACGATTTATCACGTAATTATAAGTTAAGTATACATATTTCAAACTAAAAAAAAAAACAATATTACCTTTAAAATATCGCCAGAACACAATGGGTGGTCAAAACCTAACTCTTCCACATTTACATGCTGTAGCTCTGAATCAACCTTCTCTCACATATGCATGGGTGTCTAAATTACTCCTCTTAATAAAAAATTATTTTGACATCTAGTCTGTCGGAATTAATTTTTCTTAGTGACAATATTAAATTTTCATAGTTGTCGAAATTTTTAGTGAAATTATTTGAATTCTTTATGTCAAATACATTAGATAGTATCATTACTTTGTGGAATTCATATAAAAAACCTAGCAATGTCGAAATATTTGTCGAAATTGCTTTTTTAAAAAAATAATTTAGACACCCATGTATACTCTCACATAGCCTTTACATTACCTTCACTTTCTTTCTTACGCTGAAATCGCGATGAAGTAATATTTAGAAAGTTTAAACACGAACCTTTCCTATTTCACGCCTTGAAGATCATATATTTGCATTCGCATTTTCACACTAGATAATTGTATCTATTGTCTTTAGCAGATACATATTAGTGAAATTTTGTAGTTTCCATTACAATATTAAGGTTTTTAACCAAAGCATTTAACTCTATAAGAGAGCACATTTTATCAAAACTATTGATACCTAAAATAAGTGAATAAGTGTCGACATCATTGGATGTAGTATATGCGCGAAAAGTTATGTTTTACCATAACAATGGGCGTGATTCATTCGCTAGGGAATATACACACAAGAAAATCTAAATAACATATCATTATACCAATCATATTTTAAAAATAATTTTATAAACCTACTCTTTTTCTCAAACTATCACCATATGCTTCCAAATAAACATTTATTAGTTAAATTCTGAATTATCTCGCTCGCTGTTTCTCTAATTATTTTAACTATATATAGGGCCAAAGGTATGTTTTAAGATTTTGTTGGTCGCAATCTTCTACAATTCGTTTTCGTGGTGTACAATTGATTTAAAGTGAACTTCAAATGTGTAAAGATTATCGGTATAACATTCCGATCTCCTAGGCAAGCCCGCTACGCTAGTTATAGTGCTTTCTGTTACGCTTTGTGTAGCTGTATTTTAGCATTTATTGCTTATTTATCTCATATAGAGGCTAAAAGTCTTGGTCTATTGAATGTTTCGTTTGTTATTCTTCATGGCAAAAGTTTGTGTAACCAGTCATCGAAAAAGACCCCTAAAAATCTAAAAATCAAATCGGCAGATATGGATCTGCAGGCTGCATATTCATCATCTTTTTGATTGGAGAGGATTGAATCAGACGCGCTTTTTATTCTTCGTAAAATCTTTCATAATGTATAATGAAACTGAAGCGTCATCAACTAAATTCGAGTTTTTAACTTCAGAAGAAGTAGGATTTGTCCTTAGAAAAGCTATTACAGAATGCTCTGAAAGAGGGTTATATTTTGCTGCAAAATGGTAGGTAATATGACTATAGGCCAACAAAGTCATAAATTTGCGGTTTACTATTAAAGACACTTTATTTGTGTATTAGGGCTGCTGAAACATTGGATGGGCTTTCGTCTTCTTTAAAAGAATCATTGGATTCAGCGAAGATGGACATGTCATATTGTTCATTTTTTACTCAACAAGATGTATCAGCTAATATTGATTATGTTGAACTTGATAAATATCTTCTCGGTAAATCTTATTTCGATGTTAAAGAATTTGATAGGGCTGCTTTTGTGTTGGAAAAATGCACATCTTCAAGGTGTAGATTTTTAAAAGGTTATTCTAAATATCTGGTATGTAAAGGACTTGTTAGGCATCTGGAAATTTTGCAATCCGATTAGAATCAATTAAAATCGATTGGGATTTTTATCGATTATAATTTGTTTAAATAGAAGCATCGATTATAATCGATTTAATTTAATCGCCTTTAATCGATTTTTGCGCATTTTGATGGTAATCGATTATAATTAATTCGATTTAAATCGATTATCAACATTACCAGCGATGATAATCGGTTGATCATAACAGATTAACTGCTCGTAACTGATTATAATCGAGTTTCAAAATTCCTGACAACTAGTCGAATTCTGTAATAATTATTTCCTGACAAGTCTTAATTAATGATATTTCTTTCTGGCCTTATAGGCTGGCGAGAAAAGAAAGGAGGAAGAGAGTCAAGACATTATGGGTATATGAAATTTTAATTGCAATTTTCATTTTATGATTTTTTAATGAGCATCTCATAATTTAGGTCCATTAGATGATTCAAAATGTTTAAATAAAGAAATACAAAATTTATGGGAAGAAATGGAGACATGGCGTGAGGAGGGTGAAATGGATGGCTTTCTCGTCTACCTGTGAGTTCATAATTTTTTGTAATGTTAGTATACTTTCAACAATGTGATAATTAAACATCTTTCAGCTGTTGATGAACATAACCTTCTGATTTTATATAGATATGGTCTTATTCTCAAACAGAAAAATCCACAAGCGAAGAATATTAAAGATATCTTCTTAGACTCTATACTCAAATATCATTACAATTGGAGCGCTTGGTTAGAATTGGCTAACTGCATAACTAATAAAGATATGGTACTATAATGAACATTACAAATTTTCTGCATATTTAATTAATTAATTATATTTTGATTAATATTTCCTTAGATGGAAGATATACTGGTGTTGCTTCCAGATACTTTCATGTTAAGATTTTTTAAAATTTATTTATCTGTAGAATTATTGGAATCTCCTAAATGCTTTGAATTAATTGGTGAAGTCCGACACAAATTTCCTGAGAATAAATTTTTACAGACTCAAACAGCAATTACATATTACAATAATAGGGGTATCGTATTTTTTACGATGATTTTATCTCATTAATCGAAGCACCTTACTTATATACAAATTGTGGTTTACCTATTTCAGATTATTTGGCAGCAGAGTCTGTATTTGAAGAAATAATCAAATCAGATCCATATAGATTAGATGACATTGACCTTTATTCGAATGTTCTATATGTGTTAGACGGAAAGAGCGCAAAATTGAGTTTTCTTGCACATATGAGTTGTCATACAGATAAATTTCGTTCTGAAACTATGTGTATCGTAGGTATGTCATAATATTATTTGATGTGATAATTATTATACATCTATAAATAATGTATCATTTGCGTATTGCCATTATTGATATTTAGGAAATTACTATAGCTCGAAAGGTGAACATGAAAAGGCAATATCATATTTTCGACGAGCATTACAAGTTGATAGGAATTGTTTGGCCGCCTGGACATTGATGGGACATGAATATGTTGAGCTGAAAAACACTCATGCGGCTGTCGTTTCATATAAACGAGCAGTGGGTAAATTAAATTTTATCATACTATTTTGTTAATTTTTCATAAATAGAATGTACGTACTTTATTTCTTTTATGAAACCAGAAATCAATCCCAAAGATTATCGAGCATGGTGCGGTCTTGGACAAACTTATGAAATGTTGAAAATGCCTTGCTATGCGATCTATTATTATCAACGATCTTCAGCTTTGAGGTAAGCCTATATAATAATTATATTATATTTGTAAAAACTTATATCAATAACTATTACTGCTTTTTTTATGTAGGCCGTATGATGCTAGAATGTGGTTACGTTTGGGAGCCCTTTATGAGCAGCTTTCAGTTTTACATGAGTCTATAAAGGCTTATAAAAGGGCACTGCAATGTACCGATATCGATTCTAATTCGAAACTTCAAGCCACATTAAAGCTGGACTCTTTGTATGAAAGCTCTGATAAAGACAAGGCTACAGAGCATTATAGTGAATAATTATTCTGGTTTGTATTTGCAACCAGAATAAACCAAGACCAAAACCGTTTTTGAATGATAACACTAATTGCATTGTTTGAGCTTGGGAATCTGAATTTCACATCTTTTGGGATAATAATCTAAATTCAAATATATGTCCCATTTTTGATCAATAGTATTAAACACAAAAACCAATCAAATTATTAAACCAATGCTATAAATTATTAATATTTCGTTTATTTTCGAATTAAGAACTAAAAACGATTTAAACTAAACAGGATTGTTATATTATAGGTCAAATATCTATATCGGACGGACAATGTATTATAATATAAAAATGGATGTTTCTCACCTAAAATGAAACTTTAAATCATAATAAACTGCTTTCATCAGAACTTGAAAAATGCAACCAGTTTTAGAAAAGTAAAAATTTTTGAAAAAGTGATTCCTTATTAGCTATGTAATCCTCCATTGCTGATTGATGAGTGAATTGTTCGTGTAATCCAATTTCTGGTCTCAAATCATGATAGAAACCCATCCTCAAAGCTATTAAACACTTTATCGAAAATTTTGAAGCTTAGTTAAAAATGTCGAATCAGTGATCTCTTAACTAGAGATCTGACTAGAGTTTGAAACTCGAATCCAATTCGATCAAAGTTAAATCGACTGAATTATTCAGCTTAAATCACGAGCGCAAATGTTAGTTAAATGTGCTTTTCTTATGTCGGATTGGTTAAATCCTTTTATATAAATTTTTATCTATATTTTAACGTATTACTAAAAGAATTTAGATACAATTCTTAAAATTGAAAATATACATATGTTTTCGAAAATAATATAAAAATACAATCACCGAAGAATTTTGAGTCGGGAATTTCTCACATTCGTAAAAATTCCACGAATTTTATTCATTTAAAATATTTATAGTTTCACATGAGAATTTTATTCATTTGAAATATTTAGCAACGGTATCAAATTGAATAAATTTGATTAAGTACTTTAGTCCATATTTATTCGTATATCTGGAGCTCTTTGTAAATATTATTCACCCCATTAATGGAGTTAAATACATTGACCTAATAATATTTATATTAAAAGTTAATAAACGAGTATGTAAACTATTATACCATTAATTGATAGAAACAAACCAATTATCTACATTACCTTATGTCTATAACAAAATTTTATCGCTTTTCTTTTGATGAATTGTACTCTTTAAGCAGTTCCACATATAGATCTGCCAACTTTTTACAATTCTTATAATGATTAACTCCCTCTGTTTTGTAACATTTTATTAGCTGATTCCGAACTAATCGAATTTCCATTACTTTAATCCAATATTCTCGAACTTGTTGATCCTTTGCTGCTTTCACAGCTATACGAATTATAAAATTATAATGGGTTAATTGAATACACTTAATTATCTATGCCATTATAAAAATATAAAAATATATAAGGACGATTAATGAATTGATTGGATTGAAAAATTAATAATAAGAGCCTATCGGTTGTAACTAAAAATATCTATATATGCTATGAATATAGTCTGAACTATACTTGTAATCTTAATTACGACCTTAATATGAATACAATTCTGGCTTACAGACGTAAGGTTATTAAATATGACCACATAAAGTTCTGGACTTTGTTGAAGGATCGGTGAGCAACTTGCTACCTACCTAAAAGTTTAAGAGATATAAAAGCTGGCATTCGTACCTTCCACGTCTGACTTATCTACTTCTTCCAAGGTAGGAACCTTTGGAAACTCTTTGTGAGTATATTCCCAGCTTGCCATGATTTGCTAAATTGATTACAGTTGGATTCACAAAAAAAACTTATAGCGATAACGATTTCATTGCAAGATTAAATTTTTTTTAGAGGCTGAAAATAATCAGCAGCATTATACTCTTTTTAGGAAACAATCACACGTTTCACGTGATTTTACTGACTTTATTTATCAATTTTGTCGTTATTTTTTTTTGCCTTTTAATTCATATTTCTTTAATTCTTCTTTACCCTTATTTAATTCATTCACCAATTTAGCATATTTTTCTTAAAATCAAAATTAAAATTAACGTTCAAAGTAAACCTATTAATTCAAAACTATAATTTAAATTTATACCTTTTTTATTGGCTTTTAATACATTTTTATTATCCGCTAAGAAAAATATGTTGGCATTGGTCTTTTGGTGATAAATCGTCTTACGTGAAAAAGATCAACAAATAAAGAATAATTATGCATATTAGGACATTGGGTCAATTTAATAAATATTTAAAATTCCTGGAAACTTAATTAAATTTATTTACAGCGTTAGGTCTTAAACTCAATAACTCGGTATTTAACACATCGATTTCTTGAATCTAGATTAATTTTTAAGTTAAAAAACTTATTTTCATTGAGATATGAAGTGATAAATGAACAAAATACCTCTTTTTCAAGCTGAGCAAGTTTATCTTTTAAAATCTGGACTTCTATGTTGGACATATTTCATGAAATTTTAAAAAAGTAAATTTAATTTAATTTTTTACGCTATTTATTTCAATGTACAGCTGATTTGTATAACATTCTTCTGATTGGATATTTGGATATTTTAATCTGTTACAGTAGTCACCTAAAATGTTTGATTAATGGGGCGTTACAAACGAAAAATGCTGAAACTATGTTTTTGATAAAAGTTACAAAAGCATTAAAATCGAATTTTGGCCATCAAAGCGCATAAATATTTTCCTCTATACCCTTCGGAATTTCTCATAATTTATGTTCGTTGATTTCTATTGCCAACGACCAAACAACCAATCATATTAGAGCCATGTGATACATATGCGTTTTTTTGCTCGATGATGATGCGAAAAAATGGTCAATTATGAGTGTAGCATCGCGTCACATAATACTGAACGCTAGCACAAATTCTATTTTCGTTTTTATATCTTTATATGCACCTGAGGAGCAACAAATATACAGTATAATAATTTTTTCAATAATTTACAAAGAACTCACAATAATAGAAACATAACAGTTAAAAAGCTTAAAGAAAAAGAAGGTGAATGGTTTAACCTTATATCAGAAGAAAAAAAAAATTACAAGTTGAAAAGTAAACTATAGTAAAAAGAATAAAAAAAAAACATTAAAAATATGTTCAATTAAAAAGAAAATAGAAAATATAAGAAAAACAAACTTATAACAAAAAATCTTTAAGAAAAACATTAAAGAACAAGATGAAAAGAATTTTCAACCTAATAAATTTATATTTAAAAAAAAACATCAAAAAACAAAAAAAGAATTCAATAATAAACTTATATTTGAAGAAAAAAAAAGTGTTAAAAATTTTAAAAATATTTGATAATATAAAATTTATTAGCAAACATTAATGAAAAAAAATAGTTTATATATGTAAAAGTATTAAGAATATATACATAGTTTAAATTAAACAAATATAATACAAAGTTTTAGCAATAATTAAAACAGAAAAAACTAATTTAAAAACTATTTTTGGTTTATTATTAATAAACAATAATAAGCTTACTAAATACAAAATAACAAAAACTATATTAAAGAGATAACTATAGTTAGTTTATAATAAACTAATGAGTATGCTAAAAAAAGTTTCAAAAGTGCTATTTTTGTATTATTTAAAAATTAAAAAAATAAAAGTAATATACATACTATTAAATAGAAATAACAATTAATAAAATTTATAATAATTATTTTTGTAAACTAAAAAAAAATAAAAATATTAGTTAATAAAAAAAGTTATATTATTTTAAAATATTGCCTCAAATATATGTTAAAAATTTAATTCAAATAATGCTTAATTTAAATTATATTAAGTTTAATTTAACCTAAATTTTTAACTTATATTCTAAGTATTATTTTAAAATAATATAAAAAAACAAGATAATAAAAAAAAAAATAGATTAAAAAATTAAAAATTAAAAAAAAGAAAAGATATATTTTAAAAATAAAATTAAATTGAACTTGATAACATATAATATTAATAAACTTAAAAGCAATAATTAAAAATAAAGCTTTATATAAATAACAGGTTTAATATATTAGATTTAATAAAAATAAAAATATTACAATAAAAAAATATTTTCTAGTAAAAAATCTAAATAAATATAAAAGTTTTTAAACAAGTATTAATTCAAATAAGAAAAAAAACTCAAAATAGGTTTTTAAATAAATAGATAATAAAGAAAATATTTAAAACAAATAGACTAAATAACTTATTATTTAAATAAACAAAAATTCTAGTTATAATAATTTATTTATTATTAAATAATAAGAAAAAAAGAAAAAATACAAAAAATATTCATAGATAAATATATTAAAAAATTATTAAAAATACAAATAATAATTATAAATAACTGAATTATATAATAAATACTAATTTAAATAGATTACAAAAACTAAACAAAAATTAAATAAACAAAACTTATTAATCAAATAGTTGATTAAACAACAATTTAAAGATATTTACAAAACAATTAATTTAAGTATAAAAAAAATGTTTATAGTTAAATAAAAAAATTAAATCAAAGATATATTATAAATAATTTTTTAATAATTTTGCTAATAGGTTATTTAATACAATAATTTAAAAATAAATATTTAAACAAATAATAATTATAAAACATTAACAACAAGTTTAAAATTGGATTCTCTAATTACTATTTACAATACAGCAAAAATTAAAAGATAAAAATTTTAAAAAACAACATTCTTATACAACTTAATATATTGAATAAATTTCATCTTTCTAAGTAACAGATTGTGAATTTAAAACCTATTAAAGGTGAAATTTAAACAATTACCTATATTATAACAATTGTTTTTTATAAATCAATTAAAATAAGATATCTGTAATTATAATTATACTAGTATAACTGGCAGGTTATTGGGCATTTGTGTAATTCTGATTATACAAAATGTGCAAATTAGTATTATTATTTTTTTTTAAATCTTAAATATCAAAAACAATATATAAAATAAATATTTTACTTTAAAATAAATTGTAAAAGTTATATTATATAAATGACAAAAAATAAATTAATTATAGTCTGTATAGTTGAATCTAAGTGAATTTTGCAGTAAAGTATAACTGGCTGCTTACATGACCAATTATATTTATTATAAAATTCCACTTATATCTAACTGTCAACTATTACTTGGGTACGTGTCATTTCACCGACAATCATCGACTAGTTTTTTTTTTAAAGTTGCACTAACATTAACTCTAATTCTAACTGGCCCTAACAAAAATGATCAGAATTACTTTGTCGGTGAAATAAACTTGTCGGCGAATTGACTGTCGGTGAAATAGGCTGTCGTTGGAGTGATTGTCGGCAAAATGAGCACCACCCTATTACTTAACCCCTATTAAATATAATAGACCGAGGTTACTATTTGAATGAATATTAAGTTATATTGCATTCATTTAATTATGTAAATTAGTGTTATTATGGGGTATGAACTAATAGTAAGTTGTAGCAGATTTAATGAATCTAGAAATTTAGTTCAAACAACTAAATATTTAAAATCAATGAATTAAATAAACAAAATTTTCAGGTTTTAATTCAAAAACCAACCTCGAATTCAAGTAATAATTATATATGCATTATAACGATCAATTACAATATCAATCTCTCCATATTAAAGGTTATTTGTGCGTATGAGTATCTTGTAAACCGTTGATCAGGATTGAATTTTTTTTTTTTTTACATTATTCGATCCGCCTTGATGAGACGAAACGAATGGTATAAGAGAAGAATCATTAGTTTTTAATCGATAGACCACACGAAAAACTTCAATAATACGTACTTACGTATGTGAATCCGTCACATTACCATTTACCTTATACGTATAAGTTATTGTATAGCAAAAAACTATGCTTAGAATATATACTTTAAGTATAATTTTGCTATGAAACAACCCACATTATTGAGGTTATTATTATGAGGTCCAATTAGAACTATTTACAAAGTCCAGATTCGGAACCTTATTTAGCCGATGAATTTATTGTTTCGATTCTGACCAATCAGGAATAAGGTTAGTAACGTGAAAAAAAGACAACCATTTTCATTTAAATTTCATATATATGTACGTAAAAGAAATTTTTCTAATTATTAACAAATAAAAATTCATTGCAAAAAATTTTTGTCAACTACTAACTTATCACTTAAAAAAGAAATGTACGTATAAATCAGGACGAGTAATAATAGACAATAAATATGCCAAGACTCGGTCCAGTCCGTAAATTTTCAGGTTTGGCCAGGAATAATTTGTAACCTATAATTCAATATTTTTTTGACATTATTAGCAAGAGATCGATTATCAGTTGACCAGTTGTTACACAAAAACACCCAACAATTGTCAACCGGAGTTAGTCACAGATGGATAGGTAGGAAAGAAAAAAAGAACGAATAAACAAAATAATTAATTAGAGTGACGAAATTAGTTCATTCGATATAATTAATAATAAGTTTTATATTATAGGACAAGATGAATGAAACGATCAACAATACTAACACTAAATTAGTATAAAGTCAAATCAAATATTCTATATCGATATTGAATAAATGCGTGATTCATATGATCAGTATTTTTGGCCAACGGAATATGGTATACAGTAAATTAATTATTAATTCAGGGTTGATCAAAATTGGATAAGTTGGTTTGGCCAAGACTGGTCTATGACAGCCTAGAATCAATGATAAGTTAATTATATATGAACATATTAACAGTCATTATTAATAATTTATTATATGATAAATAATTATATATTAATATTATTAATGATTATTGTCGATGCTGAAAATATATATACTCTTTAATTACTGAATTATCAATTCTAACTCTAAACACTAACTCAACCATAAAAAAAAAGGTACTCTAAAAATTTTTATTAATGATTATTATTAATATGATTATTATTTAATTATTAATATCGTTATTACGTTATAATATGTATTATATATGATATTTACCTATTTATTAAAAGAAAGTTAGCTGATAAAAGATACTAACTATAGTTGAAGAATGGATCCATATTCGAGAAACATTTTCTTGGTATTAATAAAATAGTTAGTACGTACAAAATAAACATATTTATTATGTATGACTTGAAGACAAAAAGGAAAAATAATATGTTATTATTCGGTTATTCGATGGAAAAAAAAACAAGGAATTAAAGTTTAAGAAAGAAATTCTATGTAAGAAACTCAAAACACCAAATGGGAAAGTAACCCGAAAATAAGTTACAACTCTAAACCAAAAATGGAAACCATAATGGACAACGTAAAAAACAACGATCCAAACTTTCATAGAGTTCTAGAATCTCTGTGTATCAAGTTTACTATAATTTTTATCACCAATTTTTGTCACAATATTTTACTTTTTTTTATATTCACATATTGGGAAGTAACAAGACTATGGGTCTTTTTATGACCAAAAAATCAAAGATAAAAAATCAAAGATGAAAATTTTTTAATCTATGTTTTAGTAAATTATAAATTATAAATCAAAGATGAAAATAATCTTTTAATCTATATTTCCACATTTTTCTGTTTTAATAATCTAATGATTAGAATTATATTTTTTTTTAAGTGTAAATAAAATCGACACTCCTTAAAAAAAAAAAAATCCACCAATTAACATAAATAACATAGATAGCATGAATAATATAAATAACATAAATAACATAAAATAGCATAAATAGTAAATAACGACCATACACATATCGATATATATATATATAATATTGTATAAATAATGACGGACGGACTCATGGAAACATGGTGTAAACATGGAAACATGGCGTAAACAAAATTGAACATCGGTCGGAGTCACCCGGTAAACATATGAGCCATTTTTTCATATTCAATAAATTTAATCAATGGACATCATGTCCTAAAGAATGTTATTGTAAATAATAAATGGAAAAGATAAATGCATAACAAACTGCGGACTATTAGTAATATTAACATTCAGTATATTAGTACATTAGTAAATTAGTACATTCAGTACATTTAGTTCATGTACATTACTTAAAAAGTAACAAAAAGCAGGTATTGATGTCAATATTTGGACAAGATAAAAAAAAACATTCTTACGAAACACGCAGACAGATTTTTCTTGTAAAATTTAATTAAATTTGTATGGAATGGAAGTTTACAAAAACTTTAGTTATGTGGGGCCATGTTTAGCGTTAGTGTTAACATTAGTATAATATTAACGGATCTCCATTGCATATGGCATTTTTGTTACGCGATTTTCAAAAAAGCAAAATAATAACATACATAGATTACGTACGTACTTAAATATACGTAACTTATATATAACTTATATATATATGTATCACGATTCACAAGAAAAAAACGGATAGTCAAATATTACCTGATCTTTATATTTTTACTATGTAAATTTCTGATCAGCATTATTTCTATCAGTAAAAGCTGTAACTGCTAAAACATCACCAAAATAGACAATCGTGAAAATCATTTATTGTGTTTTTAAATATAAAGTCAAGGTTTTTTTTTATTCACCAAAAATATAAGCAGATTTTCTGTCTTTAGAAATTTTTTACATTCTATTTTCTTTCTTTTTTATTTTTTATTTTTTTTTTACAATACAATTAACATTCATTATTTGTAAAAAATTCATCATTATTTCAATTCGTAAAATATTTACACACAATTATTTCAATTCGTAAAATATTTACATACAATTATTTTAATCCGTAAAATATTTACACACAATTATTTCAATCCGTAAAATATTTTACACGCAATTATTTTCACTTCATTCATTCCCTTCATTCATTTCTTTCATTTATTTCTTTCATTTATTTCAAGAGAGACAAAAAGAAAAGAAAAAAAAAGATGGGACTTTGTAATTCTAAAAGCATTGCTAGAAAAACATCCACAAAACAACAATTTTTTAATCCAGTTGATTCATATCAATCCACAAGGTCGATGTTACATCATGACCACAAGAAAACTATCAAAGGGCTGAAACCCAAAAATAAAACCAGTACAAAAGAACTCAAACGATCAGACATACAAAATTCTTTCAATGGTGATATGCGTAATGAAAATTCTATAGATCTCTATGAGATGGAACATCAAATATTAAAAGATGTTTGGCAAGGAAATTTTTGTTGTGATATCAGAGCGGAATTACAGACTGAAAAAAATTATGTTTTAGATGTTGCGTATGTTTTTATTTTTATTTTTAATTTTTTTCTTTTAATATTTTTGTCTAAATGATACTTATTATTTTCATTGTATTTATATAATAGGTGTGGGCCTGGTCATTGGATTCGTGATATGTCATATGAATTCCCAAAATCACATTTTATAGGAATTCAAGCATCACCATGTCATAAAGTTGAGCCTTCATCTAATACAGATATTTTCCGAATAGATATACTTGACGGATTATCATATGGAAATGACTCTTTTGATTATGTTCATATGAGTTGTTTGGGTCCAAATTTTAGTAAAAGTGATTGGGAAAAAACGATTCAGGAAATGGTCAGGGTAACAAAACCTCAAGGAATAATTGAAATTGTGGTCGGAAGTTGTGATTGTGAAAATTCGGGTCCAATAATGAAGAAATTATGTAACAGTCGTATGTTTCTTTTTTTTTTTTTTTTTATTCTTTTATAAAGAAAATAAAATACAATTTTAATATTGATTGTATACATAATGTATAGGTCGTGCATTCTTAGAAACGAAAGGTGTTGAAGTCGATATATCAAAGCGCTTGGAAAGTTTAATGAAAAATACACAAAAATTCGTGTCGCTGGAAAAACAAACACGTAAAATACCGATTGGAAAATCTGAAATTGTTGGAGAGATGGTATGTTTACTTGAATTTTTGGTATTACCGATATTTTACACGTAATTAAAAATTAATATTAATATTTAAAATCTTTTTTTATTTTTCTTGTAGTTTCAAAGTTATTTTACATTAATGATAGAATCATATCGTGACCCATTATCTTCTTATTTAGGACAATCACATCAAGAATTTGATGAAACGTTAAATTCATTAAATTCTGAACTGGATAGATTTAAAAATTCTAATTTTCATTGTATTAGAATAGTTGGAAAAAAACTTTGATGTATGATATGGCGTTTGAAACGCGAAATATTCAACAAAAAAAAGTAAAATTCTAATACCTATTTTCTTGTGTACATACAATATGAATACAATATTTCTTACGTAGTCGGTTTGCATTTTTTTCAATAATTCTGTAGATCTAAAAATAAATGTTAACACAACATAGTAATAGTATCATTGGCATACGTAAATAGTATCACAACAAACGCCAAATTCTTTATAATAAAGTTATATATGTGAAATATGTGTTACAGTAAAAATATTATAGATTTATTAAAAATTGCTCCATTGAATTTTCTTTATTAATAATTTGTACCTACCTGCTACTACGTACTGTACGTACGTATGTACGTAAAACTATCGCTAATGCTAACAACGCTAACGATAAAATCATTATTTTTTAAATTACTAATCCATGATCTTTATTTGACATTAATGTTAAAATTGACAAAAAAACCATTCATTTTTTAGTTTGTTCGTGCATGACATGTTTGCTATAATAGTCACCGTGAGAACACCCGCTCACATGCTCATTTATTATAACGATTACATACATATGTATATATTATATGTATATATTGATATTGATATTGGTATGTACGTACGTACTTATTTACACGAAATCTGTAATTTGTTTTCTCCTTACTTTGTATTACTTTTTCAATGACGATCTAAAGATTTATCCAGGCCAAAATATTCCTGCAGTCCTTGATTTCTTGTTTCACTTATTATGTTTAACAATAACTAATGTGGCAAAGACAATCCTTATCACGCCTTACGTTAAAAACTATTATGGTAATCCTTAGGGTCCAGATTTAACTTAATAATAAATGTAATTCCTATTGCTTGATCTTTTTAACTGGTCATTATCACTTTGGTGATCATTGCAGTTAACCAACAACACTGAAACTATCATCTTATATTATACGTATCATTATACGTATCATTATATCTTTATTATTTATCAGTTATGCATATTCAAATTTTTATACATTAACCAAAATAATACCCATTGCTAATTTAACTTTTTAAACAGGTTCCAGGCTTCTGTGCCATTATATAATTGTATAACATACCGACCGATACTTGTTTTCTTTTACGTAAATGACACTAATACTAAATAATCATTTCCCTCTATTATTACTGTATGTACCGTTACATTTTACTATTATTTACACCAATAATGCTTTTTTTTTTAATAATGCTTTTTTGTTTAAACTTTTTTTCGCTTATTCTTTTACGCTTATTCTTTTACGCTTATTCTTTTACGCTTATTCTTTTCCATTTATGGTTATTGACCGTTATTGTTATCAAAAATCCCAAGAACTAAAATTTTGAACTAAATTTGAACTAAAAATTAATTATAACTAATGATGTCAAAATTCCTCATTTACCTTGTTCTACGTACCCTTTTATTGTTATTTTTTTTTTACAATTAAAAGTTACAAACAACAATTATTGCATAAATATAAGCAAATAGGGTCCGTTCCCTTACACGTTATTATATAAATCAAGACTTATAGTTCGTACAAGTGCAATTAAATCACTAGTTTAATAATTACTACTCTTAATTACTATATATTACTATATATCGTAACTAAAGTTATAATGATTCTTTTTTTTTACAATCACTACTAAAACTACAACAGTAAGACTATTTGAATGATCTACTAACTTAAAAAGTTCGTTGATCTAAAGACCGCGATCTGGATCTTGTTCAATTTTTAATCATTTCTTGTTGGTCAGTATGCTTACATAAGCTTTCAATCTTATTATGTTTTATTAGATCCATGTGACTGGACAACGTAGAATTACTGGTACGTATGTACGGCTAAAATATTTGGCATGTCTTATTGGGGTGTATCCTATCGGTTGATTTACAAACATAGTGTAGATGATTAGTGATCATCATATAATAATTTAATACGCAAGGGAGGGTGGCGCACTCACGTTTTTTGGCAATTTCTTGTGATACAGTGATCTGCATCAGTATCATTCAATTTGTCTTATCAAGACGAATTAAAATCACTTTATTTGGATCGTCAGAGTGTAAGAAATGAGAGTAAGTTGTGTAAGTATTATGTTATTTCTTCAATTCTTCAATTTTAAATAAATTTTATTATGTATTTTCTTATTTGAATAACAATGCAAATTACAAAATAGACTTCAAATAGAAAAAAAATTCTAAAAGAAAGTCAGAACTCTTTAAAAACATTAAAATATGAAAATATTGAGGTTTGTAATTTGATAATTAACATCCAAGAACTATGTAAGGGAACCATGGGTATTATGGTATACTCAATGATTGCTAATAATAAACATTTTCAAAAAAAGTTTATTTTATTCTCAAAATTTACTAAAATAAAATACATTTGAATTATAATAAAAAAAAATTTAGTATACTAAACGTTCAAAATTTTGATATGTTTTTTCAGATTAAAAGTATTATGATGCATTGTTAGGTTAAGATTTACATATTGCATGAATTATTTTATTGAGACTTTATATAATAAAATATCAAAAACAGAACAATACTAGTAATATTCATATCTATATAATATAATTTTTTTTTTTAAAAAAAGAAGGTCTATTTTTTATTTTTTTTATTAATTAGTTAATTATGCATATATATGAAATATATAAAAAAAAAACTATACTAGAAAAGATGAAAATAAAAATTACTTTACTTTCAACCTATTTTTTATTAAAATAGTCAATAAACCTTTAATCTTTAATAAGCTAATAAAAAGAAAATTATTTATGCTTAATATAATAAAAAATATAAAATTAGTATAGTTTTGACTAATATTAACAATTGTAATTACTTTAAAAATAAGTCAAAATTTTTTATATATTACAAAAATAATATTGTAATAAATAAGAAAAATATATTTATATTTGTATTTATTGTTTTAAATAATATCAGAATATTATTAGTTATTAATTCTAATAGTATTTATTTGTTAATATAGTTGTAAATAAAGACTTAAATAAAATTGTTTATATTGTATTAAATTATTTTTAATTTATTTAAGGTTTAGTATACTGTATATTTTATTAATATTGCAAGATTTAAATAGTTTTATAAATTGTTAACAAATATATGATAGTTTCAGAAATACTATAATACCTTGACCAAAAATAGTTTAAATATTTTGTAACATTTTTCTAATAAAAAAAGAAGTAAATAAATAGTTCTTTAGATATTAATTTGATTTTAAAGTTTTTTAGTACTGAAGAAACTAAACCAGTTATTAATACTAAAAATTTTTTTTTTGTATAATATAAATTGTAAAATTAGTAACCAATTAATGTTATTTTAAGAAGTGTATTAAATTAAAATTTATTGTTAATTAAACTAGGCTAAATAGTTTGTAATTTGATATATTTGTTTTAATATAATTTTTATCAAATAAGTACAAGAGTTTTTAAGAAGTTTTGAAACAAAATGATTATATAAAAACTTTTAATATACAAAGTTTAGTAAACAAATAATACTTATAGTTTCTTAAATTCAAAGATCTTTGTTAAAAATTATTATAAATATATAATTATATACTAAACTTTTAATATTAAAAAAAGAAAGATGTGTTATTATTTGTCTAATATTAGATAGTTATATGGTTAGATAAAATATATAAAGTTAATAAGATTAATAAAAAAGATATTGTTAATATATATATTTATTGAAATGCAAAAACTTAAAAAAATAAATACAAAGTTTAATATAGTTATTAATATGTTTAGATAAGATAGTCAAAAACTATTAAGACATCTAAAGATTAGATAAAAGTGTTAAAAATAACATTTTGCTATTATCTAAAAATTATTTTTTATATTTTGTCATTTACTTGTTATATAAAATATTAAAGTTTTTATATTAAAATTGGTTTTTATTAGATTATTTTAGAATGGTATTGGTGAGTTTATAAAAGAGTATAAAAAAATACCAGAGTTAAATAAACTAGTTATTTGTAAATTTGTGATTTTGTTAGTAAAATTAAAATTAAAACTTTTTAAAGTTTTTTAAATTAATATAAATTTTTTTTTGCAATCTATTTAAAAATTATAAAAAAGTTTTGTTGCATTAAAATAGCAATAGTTAGTATAGTACAATGTGTTATTTAAATTATATTTTTTACAAATAGCCAAAATATTATTAAATAATAATATGCAGTATCAAGTTTTAAGATTTTTATTAAAAAAATTATAAATTTTTTTATAAATTAAATTATTTGTAATTATTTAGTTTTTTTTAATAGGAATCTAATTTGCCAATGTATATAAATTACAGTATGAAAATGTTAAGAATGAATTTATAGATATAACTATTAAATTTTGTATTATATAAAACTAATGGAAACACTGGCCTTTTGATATTTTTTGATATTATAATAGAAATGATTTTATATAGAAAGTTCTGTATTAATAATATTTAAAAATTGTTTAATGTAATAAATATTATATTTGTTTAATTTTTTTTTAAGATAAAAGACTTTAAAATATTGCATTAGTATTAGTTTATAGAAGTACTAATAATTTTTTTTGGATAGAGTCCATTATTGCTATCTTTTAAGATTTGTATACTTACTATATATAATGCTAATGTTATAAATAAAAATTTAATAACAACATAGTACAGAAAATTCTTTACAGATATATGTAATATCCAAGAAAGAAGTATAACTTTTGTTAAACATTGTTAAAAAACTATACTATTTTTTGAGCCAGTTCAAAAAAGATAATACAATACTAATAACTTTATTTTATTTACTAAAAAAAAAATAAATCTTGCTTGTAAGAATTATTTTAAAGAGTAAGTATCTTCTTTTTTTTTTTTTAATGTTAATGGTGAGGCTATGCCTCTATCTTTATTGAATATTTAATTGAGATTTTACATAAAGTTTAAATCTATTTTTAAAATATTATAACAAGAATAGAAGCTCAGACTAATTTATCTGCAACTTAAACCAACTGGAATGGCCAAGGCTCACATAGAT